ATAAGTTTTAAAATATTTTTTTCCAGATTATAAAAGTAGTACATATTTTTTTGTAGAAAAATTAGAAATACTGAAAGCATAAAAAAGATAATGTCATTAATCTTATTAATTAGGAGAAAAAAACCACAGTGAGAATAAATAGAAAAAAATACTATCAATTATTATTCCATCATCGAGAGTTAGTCCCTGCTGTGGTTTGGCATACTCCATTTCGGTGCTATTTCCCACACGTGAGTTTTTAAAAATAAGGTTGAAATCATGCGTATATCCTATATCATTTTTCTCTATCCTGTCCTTTTTACTTAGTAATGTGACATTCATTCATATCATTAGACACTTTTTAGAAATTTAATTTATATAAACTTAGGCAAAGAAATCTAGAGGGCATTGAGGGAAATAAGTGCTGTCACAGGGAGTCAGTAAGAGGGTGGCCTTGAGGGCGTCTCTGAGGAGGTGCCATTGAGGTTGGGTCTTGAAGGAGGAGGAGCGAGGTATGTAAACGCCCGAGGAAGACAGGTCCAGGTCGACCGGCACCACCACGAAGCCCCGAGCCGAGCAGACTGGGCGTGTGCAGCCCCCAGAAAGGGCACCGTGTGCACTCCTGACGGGACAGTGATGGCACCAGCTGACCCACCGCCTGGGGCCTCTGGGCTGCGCTGGGAACAGGGAAGCCTTTGACAGGAAAGTGACATGTCATTCCTGCAGCAGGTGGGCGAGGATTGTAGGGGTGCAGATGTAGGTGGTGGCGGGGGGTGTGGAGAGAGTGGGTGTCTGCGAGATACATTTTGGGAGGGGAACCGATTGGACTTGCCGGTGGAGTGGACGTGGCAGGGGTTGAAGAGCTGCATCGTGGAGCCAGATCTTTGGTGAAACACCTTTGTGATCATCTTTGAAAAAATCAGTCACCCTGTCCAGCACAGTCAGCAGTTATTCATGTACTTCCATGGAGGTTTGATTGACATAAAGCACCAGTGTCAGGTGCACGATGTGAATTCGATGTTCGTGTGAGTGACATCAACACGTTAACGCTTTTATGTGCTGCTGTGTTTCACAATGTTGTCAGTAATCTGACTGAGATGAAACTTTAAAACTCAAACTAATGGAGCTTTATTTCTTTTTTATTCAGGTCACTTTTCTAGGTTTTAACGAAGAAACGGATGCTGCTCACATACAGGTACGGTTGAGTTACTGAATTGGAAAGGACCTTGAGAGATGATTTGGAACAAATTTTGAGACCATGAAAAATCTGCCTTATTAGTCCAAATTTTACACTAAACTCTTCTGCTATGAGTCCTGTTCGAAGTTAAAAGATGACATTTGAGACCAACTTCTGAGTGTACTTCGGAGATTTTCACTCTTACATTTTCACTGAGTATTCTTGTTATGGAAAGCACTTTTAGGTTAGGAGACCACAGAAGTCATTTATCTGAGAAGGCTGCGAACTGCAGACTTTTCCCTCATTCTGGGCATAATGTAAAATTAAGACTTATGTTTTAATTTGGATGATTTTTATAATCTGACTTCAACGGTCAGATTCTTACATTTTCAGGAGAAAATTTTAAAAGGTAAATTGTGGTAAAGGTGATGATTAACCAGTTGAAAATGTTAGCCTGTTTGATTTAGGCCGGTACTTACAGAGGGGCTGGTGGCTGAGACTGGAATCAGCAAAGGAGGGCTTCACAGCGGCCTAGGGCTGAAGCTCCGGGAGGCGGTAGGGGAGGCGGTAGGGGGGGCGGTAGGGGAGGCGGTAGGGGGCGCGCTAAGGCGATAAGTGTACTTTGTTCTGCCTCCTGCTGCTCCTTCAAATTTGCGATTGCCAGTATTTCCTTCTGTGCCAGTAAAGGTCTCCTAATAGAAGAAGAAAATCACACTGTTCAGTTCTTTGTGAATAATGCAGATCAGGTGGAAATGAATGAAAACTCTGCTGTGTGTCTTGATTGTGCCCTTGCCTGAAGGAAGTAGTTGAGGCAGAGGCTCAGAAGAGCACGTTCTCCTGGGATGAGAGGCTGCGAAGAGAAGTGTCCAAAGTGTTTCTCTCATTCTACTTCCTCTTTAGGGGTTACTGATAAAACCATGTTTATAGAGGAAAGTACCCTAGTGGGTTCAAGGACTTAATTCTTTAACTGGGTAAAATATTTATGTAAAAAGGACAAATGAGAAAAAGCTATTTTCTTTTCCTTTACATCTTCATTAACTTATAAGTTAAAGTCTAATACAATACTTTGGAGAGGAGAGGCAGAAAAATAGACTCGTATTTTGCAAATACAAAACTTAAGCTCCAAATATGTATATTCTGCAGTCAGTCCTGTATGAAAAATATCACAGTTAATTAAACCTGAGAGACTGCAGGTTGACCTTGGCAGCTAAAAACTATTAAGTGAAAGTGCCTAGTCGTCATGGATGTGTGAGGTACCATCCATGACAATTCTTTGTAGTTATTAGTGTGATTAAAAGGCTACAGAAATAGCAGGTATTAAAATATTTTAGTACATTTTATTTTTGAGTTTTAAAAAAATTGATTGTGGTTGGTACGTTAATTATTATGAACTGTAAAGTTTATTAACCAGTAGATCTTATGATTTCTAGATAAGGCTCACATCATGTGAACCTTAATTAACAAAAGTGTTATTTTATAGTGTTGTTTACTGTGTTTTTGTTGTAAATCAGGATTTAGCTGCGGTTTCTTTGGAACTTCCAGATCTTCTGAATTCACTCCACTTCTGCAGCCTAAATGAAAATGAAATTATTTGTATGAAAGATATAAATAAATCATCAGCTGTGAACAATGGTCCTGTAAATCAGGTAACTTTTATAAATCATCTCTAATGAGTTTTTCAGAGCAAACTTTACAGTGACATTTGATGGAGAATATTAAGCTTCTGACTGTTTGGATGATGTCCTTTTTTTTAATGCTATCTCAAGGAAATATGATACATAAGAAATCTAACTCCCGAAGCTTTGAAATCAACGGATAGAATAATTTTGGTCATAACTTTAAATTAGATTATCCATGTGTGAAGTTCTATAAATGCTATATAAGTACATTCTTTTTTTCCTGAAAATTATTATTTCTGGATTTCTTAAATTTTTTCTAGCTTTGTATGAGCAATATGAATTTTTTCCCCTTTAGGGCCAATTTCAAATTTATATAAAAGTTGTGCTACATGTTTTAGAGAACACACCTTAACTCATTTTTCTGGTTAAAAAACTTCAGTGTAAAGTAGACATCTGAAGATGCACTTTTTACTTTTGTAAACACATGTTATTTCAGACAGATGATTAATTTTATAAAACATTAAGCTTTTGGTTCTTTACTAAGTATTGTTTCATTGTAACACATCAAAGAAAAACGTTTTACATGTTTTACCTCCTAAAAATTGAATTTGATTTGGTTTAAAATTTACTTATTCCAAATCTAAAAGACAGTACCGTATTAAGTATGAGAGCTACATTTAAAAGTAGGACTGCTCACCTCATTTCCTTAATTATATTCTTCATTTATATTTACTTTGTTTTATTTGCTAGAATAAAGAGATGATTAGCTATTATATTTAGTTTCTAGTTTTTTAAATAAGTTATTTGTACTATTTACATTTTTAAAGATTATGCATGGAAAAAATCTGACGACTTGTATTCTTAAAGCTGTAAACGTTGTAAATTGTAATACTAGAGAAATGTAGGTAAGAGGAGGAGGTGATGGTCACATGATAGGAGAGAAGGTGATATGCTGGAAGCTACAGGAAAATGGGATACGCAGGGAGATAGCATCTGGTTCCTGCCTTCAAGCAGCTTACAGTGTAGCTGGCGAGCTAGGTGAATGATGAAGGAGAAAGATCACAGGGCAGTGCAGTCACGCAGGACACCACAGTCGGCAGAGGAGGGGATAGTAAGTTCTGTAACGTTTGAGGAGCTGGCGTAGGGAGAATTTCACTCCGTGGCTAAGAGAAAGATGGGAGAAAAAGAGATCGGGGAGAGAGAAATGTTGTGGAGAAAGAATAAAGGAAAGAATGAAATGTCACAAAATCGGGGAGCCTTTCGGGGTGCATGCGTTTCTTCTTTTTTTTTCCCCTCCTGAGACTGTTATTTCTAGGCTTCACTTTCAGATAATATGTTTTGTATGTATAACATTTTGAAATTAAAATATTTTTACCATCTCTCATCTTTCCCAAGAGTCATCATTCTGGAATGCTTTGTGTCATGAGAGTGTCACCTACATTACCAAGACTCAGAATTGATTTTATCTTTGGTCTCCTAAGTAAATACGCGACTGGTATAAGGTACACCCTGGACACGTACTTGCATCGGAAGCGCCACCTCGAGACCACTGATGAAGACGACGACGATACCAACCAGTCCGTGTCGTCCATAGAGGATGACTTCGTCACTGCTTTTGAGCACTTAGAGGAAGAAGAGACCTCGAAGCCGTATAATGATGGTTTGTTCTTCGCTAGACTTTTTCTTGAAATAGGAGATTGAAGTTCAAGGTTTCAGTTTTTCAAGTTTTAAGGCCGATTTACTACTCAGTTAAAGTTTATTCACTTTAACCTTTTTTTCCTGATTGTCTGAGGAAGTGATTTTCTTGTGATTTTTTTAAGTTCATTGTTATCTGGCCTTTAGTTTTGCCCTTTCTGTCCTGATTTTGATAGTACTGTTTACTTCATTACCTTAAGTGTTTGGAATCTAATTATGCTTCACAACTACTTATTCTCATTGATTTAAATTGATTTTTAAAAAATTCTGTCCTCGGATAATTGGTCATTTTATTCTTTTCCTATAGGAGTAAACATTACTGCACCAAAAAGCCAGTGTGATGCTGCCTCACAGACTGCTGCCAGTCACCATTTAGAATCCCACGATTTAAGGATTCTGGTCAGCTCTGGGCGGCAGATGTCGTCGGCTAAGCCTCCAACTTCCTCAATAAATATTCTGGGACATAAAGAACAACCTGTGAAAACTTCAGTCACAACATCAATTTCTGAGCCTTGGATCCAAAGGAGTTTCTATAGGCCGTCTAACGCCCCGGATAAAGGGACTGAAACACAGAAAACGGTTTTTTCCTCTTCTCCTGCCTACTCATCTGAATCAGAGTGCTCGAGTCCAAGTCCTGTTATTTTCTTAGATGAAGAAGGATATCAGAAAAGTTTAAAGGCCAAACTTGAGTTACCTAAAATTCCCGTGACAAAAGATGATATAGAGGATTCAGACTCAGAAGTAAGTGAATTTTTTGATAGTTTTGATCAGTTCGATGAACTAGAACAAACTTTAGAGAGTTCTTGTCCATTTCTAGAAGATCGTGTCACAGGGAAGCCATCGCAGAAGAAAGGGCAGAAACATGAAAAAGCTTGTTCTGTAGCCACTGCTATGAATCCTCAGAAATTTAAGTTTGATCGCCCAGCTCTCCCAGCTAATGTCAGGAAGCCGACTCCTCGTAAGCCGGAATCCCCTCACCTGTGCGATGCTCCCGACTCTCCTCGCCCCGTGAAGGCGTCCAGGGAGGACCGGGGCTTGTTCAGCCCCATCCGTTCCTCTGCTTTTAGTCCTCTTGGAGGCTCTACACCTGTTGAATGTTTTTGCCAAACAGATGCCGGTGGCGAGAGGATTCATGAAAAGCATGATTCTGTTTATTACACCTATGAAGATTATGCAGACAGCATTTCATGTGAAGTCCTGGGCTCGGTTCTTCACACCCAACATACTAATGCAACCTCAAACACTGTTAGTGTTAGAAAGGGAGAAAATGAAACCATAGCCCTTAAGAGTGGAAGCCTCGATCAAAAAAGTAAGTCTAGACATGCATCTTTAATGATTAAAGATAGCATTCAAAAATTCGCCGCAGATCTCGTGGAGAAAAGCTTCGTTGGTGCGTTTAAAGACTTGCAGAAAGGGGTCTCTTCGTGTACCAACGCATTGTGCCATTTAGCCGTCAGATTGACGGCATCTGTTTTTCAGATGGCGTTTAACGAACTGAGAAGGCAGCGTGCATTTTCGCTGCAAGAGCGTGCCATTGGTGGTCTGGCTAATTTTTTGGTGAGCGAAGCTTTATCAAATGCTTTAAAAGATCTGCAGTACGTGAGGAAGCAGATGCTTACACACACAGCTGCCGGCTTCGCCGCGGGCCTCGCTGAGGAGCTTGTTTTTGAGGGCATCATGGAAGTGTGTCAGTTTTCCTGTCCCCCAACACCCGCCTCTCCACCGTGTCGGTCATTTGACTACGAAGACAAAGTAGTGAAGTCATACGCGAAAGATCTGTCTGAATCTGTAATACAAGAGGCATTCATTGAGCTGTCACAGGTCGATGTGACCTTTACAACAAAGGCGGCAGTCAGCATTTCCACAGATAACGTAAAGTATGTGAGTGCAGAAAATTCAGTGCCATCAACACGGGCCCCCACGTGTTCCCCTCCTTTTAACAATCAAGCAGTTATGGCGACAAGACCAGCGCAGGACTGTGAAAAAGAATACACCGGTCAGCAGGCCTTGGTTTGTACTTCTGGAATCGTCACTTCTATTCCAGTGCCCTTGTTTTGTACTTCTGGAATCGTCACTTCTATTCCAGTGCCCTTGGCTGGAAGTGCCCTGCTCCCATGTCGCTTTTCGGCTGGTGTGTGTCAGGCAGAGTCTCACCCGTCATCTGGTGATAGTAATTTGAGTGGCGGTTCTACTGAAACACGTGTTTCGACAAAAAATGAAGAGGAAGGAGCTTGTCTCAGAAATATTTGTTTATCTTCAGAACATAATCCAGGTCATCACAGTGATTTTAAAGCAGCTGATGAGGTTGTGGAAATGCAGAGTTCTTCAACATTAACAAATGATCCTGTGCTTATTAGCAACTTTTCTGCAGCAATGGTACACACGATAGTAAATGAAACTTTAGAGTCAGTGACGTCATTCAAAGATACAGTAACAGTTGACGAACACACAGATGGTTTAACTAAAACCGTAAAGGGACAAACCCCTCCTTTCCATTACGATCCAGTGACGTTGCAACAGAGTGAAGCTAGCCATAAGGACATGTTTGCTGATCGGTTATCTAAATCCATTATTAAACATTCCATAGATAAAAGCAAATCAGTGACCCCAAACGTAGATAAAAATGTGGAACACGAGGAAGGCTTGCCTATTCCTGGAGAAGAGTCTCGGTCGACCGTGGAAAAGTGCCCCAAATTCCCTGATGCTCAAGGTCACTTAAATCACTGTTCGCTTTCAGTGGGAAAGGATGGTGTCCCCAAGTGCAGAGGTTCTGCAGCTCACGGGTTCTCTTTAGAGACACTACCACGTTGTCCACCTGCGGCAGGTCAGAGACCTGATTTGAAGGAAGCCGCTAAGGACAAATCAGTGAAAAACAATAATTTGAATAATACAACACCTGAGCCCTTGTCTTTTGGGCAAGACAGCCCTTTTCCCCATTCACATGCTTTCTCATCCACAGTGCTTACATGTGCAGATGGTTTGCACGGGGAAGGTAAACAGAAAATCAGAGATGCAAATGTGATACCCGATACTCCTCCATCCAGTCCTCTAGTGCCGTCTCAGGCCAGTCCCGAATGCGATATCAAGAAGCTCACCAAAAAGCTCAAGGGGGAGCTGGCCAAAGAATTCGCACCTGCGACACCGCCTTCCACACCTCACAACTCGTCTGGCGGAAGTTTATCTGAAAACGAACAAAACGCTATTGAAAAGGAAGAATTCATGTTGAAGCTCATGCGATCTCTTTCAGAAGAAGTCGAAAGTGGTGAAGGCGAAGATCTTCCAGAAGTGGACGTGAAGTCAGAGCACTCAGGGAAGAAAGTTCAGTTTGCAGAAGTGTTAGCGACACGCATCGTTTCCCTTGCAACCGAAACGGCAGCTTCTCATCTAGATAATAACATCATTCAAGAACCCAGGATTAAGAGCCCTTGCTTAAATGTGCAGAGTCCAAGAAGTGTATCTCCTGCCTTTTTAAATCACTCGGGTGAAGATTTACAAACTTTACACAATTTTGCAGGTGATATGGCAGCCGAAGTCGTTACAGAAGCTGAGCAAATAGCAAAAGTTACAAGTTGTCTGCTTTTCAAGCAGAGGAGGAGCAGTTGTTACGTTGACGGTGCCCGGGATGATAGATCAGAGGAGAGGTTGCATGTGGAGGCCGCAGCACACCCGAGAGAAGATCCATTTATTCTTTCATTACCGAGTTCTCGCATGTCAGGCCTGACATACAAGTATCCCAGCTGCGAAAGTGTGACGGACGAATATGCAGGTCACATTATCCAAATACTGAAACAGGAAGGTGGTAATGGTGAGTTACTGATGGATCAGTACGCCAACAGACTTGCGTATCGATCTGTCAAATCAGGATTGCAAGAAGCAGCCAAGACGGCCAGAGTGAAGTGCAGCTCACAAATGCCCCTTGCGCAGAGCTCAGAGGTGGAAACCGGCAGCGAACTCTTACTGTTCTTACATAAGGAAAACCGCCAAGACGCAGGTAAAAGAAGGCAAAGTAAAAGAAGCGGAGGTGACCTGTGTAAAAATCAGACTTGTGAACGGGCACGGGACACGAGCCGAAGCCAGTGCTCGGAGCTGGACGGTTTCTCCACGTCCCTCGCTCGCAGCATAGCACGAGATGCTAGCAAAGCGCTGACGGCGCCCGCGGGTGGCTTGCCACAGTCCTCGGCGGATTCCCGCCGTCACGAACAGCCCGGGTGTGCTGAGGGTGCCGAGCCTCACGCCGAGCCAGCATTTCCCGAACCTCCTCAGCCTTCTTTGCAAAATCCTGGATTTTCCCCCCGTGCAGGCAGAGTCGGTGGGCGTGGTTGTGGAGAGAGTGTCGTTCAAGCTGTGGAACAGTGGGCTGGAGAGGTGCTGGGTGACACTTCCGAACTAAGGTTAGGGTCTGCGGTCGTCCGCGCGTCTGAGGCCACAAAAGCAGCAGGTGGGCCCACTTACGCATCCAAGTTGTCGCCTCTCGTGAGCCAGGCGTGCAGACATTGCGACCACAGAGAACTCCGTGACCCCAGTGGCAGTTCCGCTCAGCACTTCTCCAGACAGGACGCTCGTGGCAGGCCGCTCTCTAATTCAAAACTCAGCCACATCTATCAGCAATCCAGGATTTTCCATCTCGACGTCCCCCAAGTCCGTGTCGATCTCGATAAGAAGACAGCGCTTGCCGAGAAGATAGTTGCCGAAGCTATTGAGAGGGCAGAGCGAGAGCTGAGCAGCACCAGCCTGGCAGCTGACAGTGGGATTGGACAAGATGGCGTCAGCTTTGCTGAGAGCCTCAGCACGGAGATAATGACGTCGGCGATGGCGAACGTCGGCCGTGCTCTGAGCAGGTACGTCTCACGTTTCGTTTGGGCCTTACGAAAGAACGAAAAGTTAAACTCTATCAGGTATGTCTCAGGTTCTGTTCAGAAAGGTAGGATTATTTTTAACCCTAAATTGACAAAAATGTTTCCCTGTTCCATTTGCGTGGTGTTCTACGTCCCTACGTGTTACTTGCACGTACACCGCGTCGTTGCTCTACAGTAGCCCTTTGGGGGGCGCTGTCACCGTTTACCGCGCTGGAGGATGAGGCTTAGAGGGGCCGTCACCTGGTCCACGTCCCCAAAGCTGGGAAGCGGGCCAGGTGGAGTCAAAGAAACAGCTGGAGAATTTTATACAAAAATATAGAATATTAATGACCACGTTAAGTTACTACTCTGGGATTAGATTCTCATATTCTGTTTTTTTCTATTCACAGGTAAATTTTTTTTTGTTTTGTTTCTTAAATAACAAACATAATTTAATCACAATGCTATCAGGAAAAAAGCAGAAATGCTCCAGGTCCTTCCCCACTGCCACCACTTCTCCTGATAGGCCCTGACTTAAGGGGCAGCTCTTGCTGGCCGTCCTGGTGTCCTGTGTCCCAGTGTCCAGTTCCTCAGCAGCTGCGCTTCATGCTCAGATTCTAACACCTTAGTTAAAAATGCTCACTTTAGCCTCCATTCTGCCTGAGAAAACGTCAAGACTAACTTGTGACATTATTTGTAGGACTGGATTTGTTAGTCCCTCTGAAACGGAGGCCTCAGTGGAGGTGGAA